ACAAATCTATCCATAATCAAATGTTTAAACAATTGATTGAACCATTATCCAAGTAATTCGAGTATTGTCCATTGCATCTTTCCATTTATGGCACAAAGGCACCATTGCCATTCACATAAAGCATACTTTATGCAATTGTCAACTCCTTGAGCCTCTCAATTGTTTTTTCCTGCATATACACAATGTCAAAGCGAGAAACAACATGCCTAAAAGCCTCTAACAACTTCATACCATGCTTGTACCATGCATTGGAACACCAATTTTCATAATAACTTGGTTGTTTCATCTCAACTAAACCAGAATTTTAATAACTTGTAAAACAAACTCTCTCATTCTCTTAAACCTCCTCTATAAATAGAGAGGCCATTTGAAAGCTAAGGGGCCAGAAGTTTTTATTGTGTAGACAAACCCTCAAAATCTCATACTCTCAAAAAGCCATAATTGTCCATAAAACCCCCACTCTAGAGCTTTAAAGTCAAAATCTTTGAACCTCTCACATCTTACAAGTTCTGTCCAAATAAGCCATGCACATACTTCATATAGAAGTTGTTCAAACACAAGAACAACTTTTGTTGCATCATTACCACCATTTACAAAAAAAAAGCCACTTGCAACTTGGTTTTTCCAACTCTAAGTCAAACACAAATTTCAGTTTCAAGGTAAGTTTTCTTGACTTTGAGCTCTTCATTTCAAACATCATTAGTGATTCATTTTTGAAGATAGAATATAGTAATCATTGCCCTGGAAGCTAACCATATGCTAGATCTTTATTTTTATCAATTATATGTGGAAAACTTACTTGTACATGAAATAGAACAATGTTAGAGGTAAAAAACTGCAGCATGAGTCGATGATACTCACATGAGTCGACTCATTTTAGTTACATAACAGGTTATGAGTCGACACAAGACCTTATGCATCGATGCATACTATTATCCAGACACAATACAGAGAAACAAAAGGTGTATGAGTCGACACAAAACACGAATGTGTCTACACAAACAAGAAATGAATCGACACATACCATTATGTATCGACTCATACTGAACAGTTTTTGACTTCCAGGATCAAGAAAATGGCATGTGTCGATGCAAAGCTGATATGTGTCGATACAAAACAGGAAAATGAGCTAATGCAGGCCTTTATGCATCAATACATGCTGAGTTTGATTTTGATTTTTTTTCAAATTATTTTATTTATCATTTATAATTTTAGCATATTCCTATTATTATTTCTTTCTAAACCAAAAGCCAAAAAGAAAACATTTTTTATTAAAATCAATTTCTTTTCTTAAAATTAATTTATTATTTAGACTTAGGTTTATCATTTCTTTAAAATTAATTTAGAACTTAGGGCTTTTAAATAATTAGTTTTTTATAATAATTTAATTTAATTAAAACCTTTTCATAAAAACCCTAAAAAACTTGTTTTCTTAATTTATTTTTCTTTTCTCAATTTAATTAGGTTTAGTTTATTTTAACCATTTTTATTTTAATTAGATTAGGTCAAAATCTTCTTCATAACAAAAACACAAACAAAAATCAATTTCATTGTCCATTTACTTTTTTGTACATTTATTCAATCGTGTAGCTTATTAGTAATTCAATATAGTTATAATAGTAAAATTATGGTTTATTTTCTTTATTTCCCAATTTGTAAATTTGTATCCTCATCCCCAAATAATGTAATAACGTGGGATATTTAGTTTCCACAATTTACCGTTTTCAAATATAAATGCTAGTAATTAGGGTTTGTATGGCAAGATAAAAGCAATCGTAAGTAAACCCTAATTCAAGAACAAATGCATGAAAACAAACACTTTGCACACTTGCACCTCTAGGGAAATCCACACATGTTGCCTCGGATAAAAACGGTCATGTCCCTCGAATGTGGGATACTTTAGCAATGACCCTCGAATACAAGATTGTAGTCCCTTGATGACCCTTCAATATTGTCTTCGGTAAACGATATTAGACCCTTAAGATATATTGCTAAGGTATCCTACAATGTTGCCTTCTATGACTATACAACGACTCACGTCCATCCCTTCAAATCCAATGATAGGGCTTCTTACCAATCAATGGTAAGATAGCAATAACTGAAGGAGGAGGAAAATAACTAAGACTTTTTGAGTAGGTAGAACGTTCATAGTTGCTTGCTCACAATCATTTCCAAAAACATCTTTCAAACACACCAACACTTTCAAATGAAATATTTTCAAAATCCAACACTTTATATGCATTCTTATAGAGACGATAATCATTACAAAGTTTGCCTAAACGAAGACACTTTTCAAAAATACTTTCAAAACCAATCACAATCACATTTCAAACAAAGCATTTTCAAAGTGAGCTAGCAACTAAGAGCTCGTAGATAACTACAGATGAAAAGGGTGCTAACACCTTCCCTTTTCATAACCTACCCCCTGAACTCAAGAAAATTCTCAAAAGGTCTTTCCTGTTCTTTTCACCCTTTCCTTTCATGTGTTGGATTACAAGATGCTTCGTTTTTTATGATGATATGATGATGTTATGAAGATGCTTTATTTATTATGTTTATATGATGATGTTATGATGATGTTTTTTTTTATTACGATGGCATGATGAAGTTGTGATGAATTCAAGGGTGATGATGCGTTTTGACCAGTCGTGGTCGTATTTATTATATTTTTGTACATCATGCATTCATGGCATGTTCTAGGACTTCGATCCAGTGACGTTTTTGATAATATTGATCTAATGGTGTATATAGGACGATATGGTCCAGTGATGGCCTCAATCCCATAGTGTGGATTGAGTGAAATTTTGTGAAGTGCTCTGGTTCCAAGTGGGAACCGATTCTATTGGTGGGGATCTTTTGAAATAACGATGACTGAGTCATCAGTGAAGTTTTGGTATCTCATGCATGTGTCTAATGAAGTGCATTTTTATTATATGTGACATTGCATAATGATTGATTTCATGATAATGATGATGTGATGCAGGTTGTGAATCTTTATGACGTGTATTGACATGATGATATAGGGATGTGTTCAATATGAGTATGTTATGATGTGAGTATAATATGAGGATGTAATAATTTATTCCTTATTTCTTTTATAATGATTACGATTTACTCATACTTTCTGTTTGAATGTTGTCTCCACGTGGGTAACGTGCAGGAGATTAGGATTAGTGCAATGAAGCTTAGAGAATAGCTTCAGAGTATATTTATTTACTTTTCGTTGAATAAAGAGAGTCTTGCTCTGATATATAACATCGAGATTATGATCGATTGGTTATGAACCATGCATAATTTTATAATTTTGAGATTTTGTATTACTTTCATGACTTTTTCCATGTTTTAGATCATGATGTTATAAAAATGAAGTGTGATGATTTTATTAATATTCGAACTACCTTTCATGGTATTGAGATTATGTTATAAAAAAGTTTAAGACTCTTATTTCCGCTGCGAAGTTCGCAATAAAATGGTTGTGATACTAAGGATATTATATTTAAAGTGTTTTTGCAACTAGTGTTACGGAGAAGAATTATTTATTATATGATGATTATGTGATGATGTGACATCCTTGTTGTTATTTTACGCTTATTTATTTATTAAAAATATTCGTGAAAATTGTGGAGTTCTAGAAGGGTGTTACATAACACACTAGTACCCGTACGAACGCACAAATTATTACATTAAACACACATTTTCATGTGAGTTATACTACTAGCTTTTCATTTTTTTAATAATATTTTTAACCATATTCTAAATTTTAATAAATATAATATTAAACATAATTCTTTTATATCATTATCTTTTTGAACTTTTATGTAAAATTATGTTTCTTCTAATTCAACTAATTTTAATTTTAAATATTTATTTGTTTTATTTATTAAACTTTTATAATTCCTTATATTATTACAACTCTATCAACCCTAAAAAAACAAATTTTTCTATTTTTCACAATTACTTTTTACAAAGTATTTTTCTACTAATTTGAATTTAAATATTTTTCTATTTTAATTTTAAAATCTAAATTGTAACAATTTCTCTATCCACACCAACACCCGTGCAGACGTACAAGTATCTTACTAATTATAAAATGATTTTATTTTACAAATGAATATTCTAGGACGAATATAATATAATTTTGCTCAATAAAATAAAGTAGGGTTATTCATTATCAATAATATATCTTCAATTATAAAAATAAAAAATTAAAGTAATGTGGTGACAAATAAGAATTAAAAAAACGAAAAATTTAGATGCATTTTTTTAGATATGAATTTTTTTTTTCAATAAAAATGTGACAAATATATAATTTTCTCTTACGCATATGTAATTTCTTTCTATTTTAATTTTTTTAAAAATATTTAAAAATATTTATCATATTTTTATTATAGAAAAATATAAATCACACCTATAAAATTGTATCTAAGTATTCTTCTTAAAAAAAATATTAATTGAATAGCTATTAAAAAAAAATACTAATTGAATAGCTATACTATATAACAAATAGATAAAAATAATTAAAAAGTATGAACCACTTCATCAACGATCTCATTCTCCATTAAAAAGGATAGCGTTTCTCTTTAGCCAAAGTCCCTTTTGAAACAAGTGATTTACTCGTATCTTCATTTAGCCTTGCATGATTTATGTGGTCCCATCATTTTTATGCCTATGGCCACAAAATACAAATTCTATTCAATCAGTGACATTGAGTGTAAAATATTTCTCTGAGAAAATTTGAATAACGTGTATTGAGTGTGTATATATGTATATGTAGTAATTGCTTTAATGGGATTTATGGACATCGCATGTGGCAATCAAATTCAATACCAAAAACCAAACGAATACTTTGATAATATTCACTTTGTTCTTTCATTTATTTATACAATATTCCATAAACCTTTTTCTCACTTGATATAGCAAACTCACAAGTTACCTTCTTCATTTTTCTTTCTGGTTTCAGTTTTACCATCTAAGTCGTTACGTCGTGAACTGCGACAAAAATGAGGCCACTTCATCACTCATCACCACCCCAAGGTAATTTGATATATATATTTTCATTTGATATTTTAAAAAGAAAAAGAGTTTGTAAACCATTTATTTTTGTTTGAATTTTAGGTTCCATTGCTCCATTTGCTGCACTTCCACCAGAAAACATCTTCCCTTCAATCTACTATGGAAATGGAAGCATCCACCGGTCGGATCCATTGCCGATTATTTTAAGTGTACTAGCGGGAATGTTTGTTATTCTAATAGTAGTAGGGATAATTCTTTGGAAGTGTATAACTTTAACAACACCACCACCAGCCACCGTTAACCAGCCTGTACTAGGAGTGCCGGTGCCCATTCCGATGGAAACGTGGGTATCATCAAGAGTTGCGGGTAACAACGAAACCGTCTAGGTTAAAGTCTAATTAGTGATAGCACTCACATAGCTTTGTTATAAATGAATTAGCGTGTAAAAAAAAAAAACTTACGCCTATTAGCATTCATACATTCTTAGTATTATATTCTTATTTTACCATAAAATAATTATTAAAAATACTATTTCATACTTTAATTCTTATTCAAGAAAACAAGAATTAATCGTTGTAAAAAAAAAAAAAGAATTAATCAAACGAAAAATTTAAGTGCATTTTCTTAAGTGTAGTTTATATTTTTTTTCTAATAAAAATATAATAAGTATATGATTTTCTCTTAGACATACGTAATTTCTTTTTATTTTAATATTTTAAAAAATATTTAAATATATTTATTTTATTTTTATTAAAGAAAAATATGAGTCATACCTATAAAATTAAATCTAAGTATTCTCCTTAATCAAATGCACTCATTCTCAAAACTTATCCTATAATTTTTAATTATTTTTATCTATTTATTATATGGCATAGCTATTCAATTAGTATTTTTCTAACTTTTTTTTTGTCACGATATTACTTTTTAAAATTTTTATTTTTTTATAATTGAACATATATTGTTGTTAATGAATAATCCTACTTTATTTTATTAGCAAAATTCTATTCCATTCGTCCTAGAATGATTCATTTGTAAAATAAAATCATTTATAATTAATTATGCTTTTCAAATTTTAAAGCAATATTAATTTTTTAATTTTATTATTTAATTAATACTATTTTCATTATTTCTAATATTTAATAAAAAGTATTTTTTATTTAAAAAAATTTATTCCTTTTATTTATATATTTTACTTAATTAGTATGAAGTGATCAATTGAATCATATATGATACATAGAGTATGACTTAAAACTTTATAAGATTTTTAAGTCAAATAAATAAAAATTATAAATTATTTTAATAATTTTAATTCAATATAAATATTGATTATATAATGTTTTTCGTATAATTTAATATGAAGCAGAAGCAAAATAGTAAATATGAATAAATAAAAGTAAAATATGGTCTATGTCAACAAAATTTTCTTCTGGTTTTTGGTGTTGAATGCACATGCCTTATATATCCTATAAAAGCAATTATACCATATATACAATTAATTCGGGTGAGTCCAGAGTGATATGATCTTCACCAACTATAATGAATGATTTGTATCTTTGTAAAAATATGAATATTAAATTATTTGTCTTTTTCTAAAAATGTGATTACTTTGGCATTTAAAAATAGCAATGATGGATAGGGTCGGATGTGAGTTTCACATTATTCAAACTCGCACTCGAAATCACCATCCGAATTTAAATTTAAACTTAAAGATTATTCGGATGGTAAAATAACACTCACGCTCATATCACTTAGATTCTAGTTTTTTCATCTAAACTCGAACCTGTAGCAAAACACATAAAATACAATAACAACTTTGAAATTTTCCATCAATTTTCCTACAATTTTCCAACAATAATATTACAATCTTCCATCAATTTTCCTACTACTTTCCAACATCAACATTATGATTTTCTATCAATTTTTCTACAACTTTCCAACATTAACATTACAGTTTTGCATCAAGATTGAAATTTAAATTAAAGTCTACAACTTTCCATCAAATTTGGTAACATTACAATTAAAATTAAGGTCTTCAACATCTTAAAATTAAATTCTTGTCACACATTACTTCTTAGTTTCTTTGATGGAGGTTCTAAGCTTGTATCAATTTCTTCTTGTTCTTGTTGTCCAACATCAAGTGTCAGACTCGAATTAAAAGATATCTTCTGAGTTGGTGGACATATACTTTCTTGTGTAGGATTAGATATTTCTTCCGATTTAAGAATTGTGTTTAATTGATTCATTTTACCTATTACAAACAAATTTAGTTCAGCAAGTATAATATATCAATATTTGTTTTATTATTTAATTAGGATAAGACTTAAGAGCCTATAATCACTATAAATAATAATTAGTGTTTTTCATTTGTGATAACATCATACATATCATTCAATCATATTTCTATATAACTTAAATACTCTGAGAATTATTTTTCCTCCCGCTGCATATAAAAGACTAAATCCTATAAATGTCAAGTATTTTTCTAACGCAACAGAAATTCATTGTCTGGCTTTCTCAATCATAGTCCAGAAAGGAATTAAGTTAGTGCCAATAGCTATTTATTTACATCTCTCTTTTTTTAGCACCGAGACAAGCAACAAAAATTCTAAAACTTAAACTGTGAAACAATTAAAGCCTCTAACTCCATACTTGTGACACCATAAGATAAGGTCAGTTGAGCAAATTACAAAAATCGAACAAGTAAAGAACATATAATAAGAAACAAAACTTTTCTTTGCCTGTTTGCTAGACAGAAAAGAGAGTTTCATAAATGCAAATCTATTCAACACCAATGAAGTCTAGTAATTGTTCCAAACCCAATTCATGCATGCAAAGAGTTGAATCCATTCATAAACCAAAATGTATTACTTTCAAACAATAAAAATCACATTCCTGAGAATGAAAATTGGGATATTCAATGTTATTCATTCTTACTAATATTATTTTCAGAATGACAACATGGAAATATCAGACTCCTTATTTCACATTCTGAAAACTAATTATAGAATTTAAACAATATGTACAGTCAGTTAAATTACTCTTACCTGGCCATCAAATAGAAATTCATAATTTTGGTACATAACTCCATTCTTATAACTAATATGACATAGTAAAATAAAGAACTCATATTCCATGTCCTTGAAGTGTACATCTATTAATTCACTCATAACGATGTAGATATCAATGGCCATTCAAAACATACTACTACAATAACAACAAAGTATCAAGTTTTATTGGATTAAATATCAGAAATACATGAGTATAATTTATCAAAGCACAACATAATGAAGTTACTCCTCTTTTCTAATTTCAAAACTTTTCAATAAAAAATGACTAACTATCAATCTAAACTTTAGCTAAAACCCATCTCCATTTCAGAAACCAAAAACTAAATCTATAACAACCCAACAAGCATAATTCTAGCTTATAAATTAATTGTTTCAAAATATAAAAATATCTTATGCATAATAACTCTTAAAAGAAGCAAATCAATGAGGCTATGGCTCTATAAGTCTGTTTCAAAAACATAATGTTTAGTAATTCTAATGACCCAAACAAGCTTCTCCACTTTCCAAAATCAAAAACACTTGCATCGATTAAGTAATAGCAATTAGCAATAACAACTCAGCTCAAGTTGAAATAAGTAATAACAGTTCCATTACTTATCTTGAGGATAATAAACCAAGTTCTTCAAAGTTGCCGTCGTGCCCGTGCCCGTTCTTGTTTCAACTGTTGCTGTTGGAGAATGGAAGGCTGTTGACTCATCTTATAACAAAAATCTTGTTGTTTTTCTTCTACTATCAATATATATTTATCAGAAAGTGAAATTGAATTTCTAAAATTGAATTTCCGAATGTGCAGAAAGTGTGATAGAATCAACTGAAATTGAATTTCAATGAAGAAATATCAAATTAAATTTCAACTGAAATTAAAATTGAATTTCAACTGAAATTGTGCAGAAAGTGTGATACAATGATTGAAAATAACCTTAGTGGTGATAGAAAATCGAGAGAATCGCGAGGAGGACCTACTGGTGGAGGAGGTCGCGAACTCGCAATGTTGAAGATGCGCAGAGATGTTGCGAGTGTTGAGCGGAGGCCGGCCTCGGTTGTAGATAAAATGAAGGTTTGTTGGAGCGAAGTGATGAAGGTGGGAAGCGAAACGCGTCGGAGGGAAATCAGCGATCAGAGTGAAGGAGGCAGACTTTGGAGTGCTGGAACGGAAGTGATGAAGGGTGAAGTGAAGGAAACTCTAAATATTTACACTTATTACCCCTATATATATATATATATATATATATATATATATATATATATATATATATATATATATATATATATATATATATATATATATATATATATATATATATATATATATATATATATATATATATATATATATAGGGGTAATTATGTAATTTCATATTTAAGCGGATGTGGTTTTGGATTTTAGGTGCGAGTTTGAGTGAATCCTTATCTAAATCCGAAATATCGGGTGACACCTAAACTCGAATTTGAACATAGTCTACTCGGATTTTCACCCGTTGACTCGGGTTCAGGTGCGGATTCATCCGCGGATTTGGATCTACCGCCATCCCTATTGGCATTAGAATGGTGGCCCCTCTTCAAAGTGTGTGGGTAAGTTTCGGCCTATTATTTTTTGTTTTGTTTATTTATAATATATGATTTATATGATTTTCTTTCTGTACGTCACAAAATATACCTCACATTTTTTTTGAATAAGATTATAAAATTAGAATAGAAAATGTGGGATACAAAAAAGAGAGGAGGATTAGGCCAAGACCACTTCAAGAATTAACAAACCTATAAAAGCACATCCCCGATTTAATTTTTACAAAATCACATCTAATAGTTATAGGGATGACATTAAAAAGAGAAAGGGAGGGAGCATTACGGCCTAAATTTTCAAAAAAAATCAGCACAAGAATTACCCTCCCTGAAAATATGAGAAATAACAAAAGACATATTTTCAATAATATTTTTGCAACGTAACCACCTATTTCTAAGCTGTCAAAGAACCAACGTATCCTTTGGAAAAGCTTGGACCATAATAGAAGAGTCACTCTCGATCCAGAGCTTCAACCATGCTCTATCTCTAGCAAGCTCAATCGCTCTAAAACCCGCAAAGAATTCCCCACGTAAGGAATTAGGCACTGAAGTAGGCTCGGCAAATGCTAACAAAAAATCCCTAAGAGACTTTCTGAATATCCCACCACGGCCACTTGAGTTATTCTCAAAGGAGCCGTCACAATTACATTTAACCCATATGCCAAAGTACCTCAATAATTTTAGGGGCGCGAGGGTAGTTGATGTTAATCCTGAACGATTTAAGAAGGAAAAACTCCGACATGGACGAAGAGGTGCAAAGAGAAGTGTTGTTACCAAGCATATGAAACTGCGCCAAAATGGAGTAGATACTAGCATGAAAAGTCGGAATTTTACTATGAAATCTGGCCCCATTTCAAATCTGCCAGATGCTAGCAATCGTATACACAATGGCAGGCTAGATGATGAGCGATCCTTGAGGAGACTCCCCTATTTTGCAAAGCTCCCAAACTAAGTTCACAGAAGAAATCGTGTGGAGTAGTTTAAAAGACCATAAAGCCATCGCCACAGTTTAACTGCATAAGGATAATAGAAGAATAAATGATCAGATAATTCACAATCACTCTTGCAAATACTACACCTTGAACAAAGATTACAACCACATATTTGCAGCGCTTCATCAGTAGGAATCTTATCATTTAAAACTCTCAAAGTCAACAAAGCTTTCGAAGGGGCAATGTCTGCATTCCAAATCTTACTCGCCCAATCCACTTTGACAGATTTTGGATCTTTGAATATGTATGCTTCTTTTAAGGAGAGCTTGTCGTCATTATCGTTGTGCCAAATCATCAGGTCAGAAATATTTAACAAACTAGAGAAAAATTAATGAAAGACTTTGAAAATAAATTTTATTTAGTTTTAATCTTTCCATTACAAAATACTTCATAAGTGTGTTAAATGTTTTCGGCGACGAATTTTGTGAGCAAAATGTTTATTTTTTATATAAAATAAATTAAAATTAAATTCTATTTTGATAACATTGTGGTTTAAAATTTTATGAAAAATTATAGTAAAATAAATTTTTTAAAATAAATAATTACTTTACCATATAAATAATTATGTTTAATTAAATTCTTTCAGAAGTTCTTTAGCATACTTCGTTTGATGTATGTAAGTACCTTCTGGAGTCTGGTTAATTTGTATTCCCAGAAAGAACTTCAATTCTCCCATCATGCTCATCTCAAATTCTGCCTGCATGGTCTCAGCAAATTCTTTTCCAAGGGAGATATTAGAGGTTCCAAAAATAATATCATCAACATAAATTTGACAAATTAAAATGTCATTTTTAAATGTCTTTCTGAATAAGGTTGTGTCCACTTTCCCTCTGATAAAATCTTTTTCTAAAAGAAAATTACTCAAATGTTCATACCAAGCTCCGGGAGCTTATTTTAAACCGTATAAAGACTTTTTAATTTAAAAACATGTTCTGGATACTTTGAGTTATTAAATCCAGGAGGTTGATGGACATAAACTTCTTCTTCTATATAGCCATTTAAAAAAGCACTTTTAACATCCATTTGATATAATGAAATGTTATTTTGAACATCAAAAGAAATTAATAATCTAATAGATTCTAACCTGGCGACTGGGGCAAAGGTTTCATTATAATCAATTCCTTCTTGTTGACTATAACCCTGTGCAACTAGTCGTGCTTTGTTTCTGACCACCTCTCCTTGCTCATTTAGTTTGTTTCTGAAAACCGATTTAGTTCCTATAATGTTGAATCCTTTGGGTCTTGGAACTAGATCCCATACATCGTTTCTGGAAAATTGATTGAGTTCATCTTGCATTTCTAGGATCCAATCATTGTCTTCCAGAGCTTCATCAATAGAGGTTGGCTCAATCATAGATACCAATGATTCTTCATTGATTCTGAGAGAGGATCTTGTTATGATGGGATCTTCTTTCCTTCCAATAATCACGTCTTCTTTATGAGCTGAAGAGATTATGGGAAATCTTTTCTGAGAGGGTTCTTAAGAGATTCTGAGATTATCCAGAGCATTATCAAGAGGAGGATCTTCTGAGTCTTCCTTTACTTCTGACATTTCAGAGTTTGAGAGATGATCTTCTGTACCTACAAAAATATCAATTTTCTTTGGCCGTTGTTGTCCAAGCTTATCATCAAACCTGACTTTGATTGATTCTTCAACAATCAGTGTTTCTGTGTTGTATACTCTATATCCTTTTGAGCATTCAGAATATCCAAGCAGAAAACACTTTTGTGCTTTAGAATCAAACTTGTTCAAATTTTCTTTAGTGATCAGAATAAAACAAGTACATCCAAAAGGATGGAAATAAGAAATGTTGGGTTTTCTGTTTTTCCATAATTCATAGGGAGTCTTTTCAAGAATAGGTCTTATAGAGATTCTATTATGAATATAACATGTTGTGTTCACAGCTTCTGCCCAAAAGTGCTTAGCCATATTTGTTTCATTGATCATGGTTCTGGCCATTTCTTGTAACGTTCTATTCTTTCGTTCTACAACTCCATTTTGTTGGGGAGTTCTAGGACAAGAGAAATTATGAACAATACAATTTTCTTTAAAATATTTTTCAAAATAATGGTTTTCAAATTCTCCTCCATGATCACTTCTGACTTTTATAATTCTAAAATCTTTTTCGTTTTGCACTTGGTTACAGAAGTCAACGAACACAGAATGTGACTCATCCTTGTGTTTTAAAAACTTAACCCATGTCCATCTGCTGTAGTCATCAACAATGACCAATCCATACTTCTTGCCTCTGATGGATGCAGTTTTAACTGGCCCAAACAGATCAATATGAAGTAGTTCTAATGGCCTATAGGAAGAAACAACATTTTTTGATTTAAAAGAAGGTTTTGAAAATTTTCCTTTTTGACATGCTTCGCACAGAGCTTCTGAGTTGTACTTCATATTGGGAAGTCCTTTGACTAAATTTAGTTTATTTAATTGAGATATTTTTCTCAAGCCGACATGTCCCAATCTTCTGTGCCATACCCATTGCTCATCGCTAACAGACAAAAGGAATTTTACATTCTGAGTTTTAAGATCTGACAAATCAATTTTGTAGATGTTGTTCTTTCTCTTGCCAGAAAAGAGGATTGTTCCATCTTTTTGACTAACAGCTCTACATGAATTTTGATTAAAGATAATGTCATAACCGTAGTCACTTAATTGACTTATGGACAACAGGTTATGCACTAATCCTTCTACTAATAAAACATTAGAGATAGAAGGAAGGTTACCGTTTCCAATTGTTCCAGAACCAATAATCTTCTGTTTCTGATTGGCTCTGAAACCTGCAAATCTTTTAGATGCCAGGCTTTGGAACATAGACTTTCTTCCTGTCATGTGTCGTGAGCACCCAGAGTCCAGGTACCATGACTGGTGTCTCAATTGAGTTATTAAGGACATCTGCAACAAATATTATTTTCTCCTTAGGTACCCATATCTTTTTGGGTCCTCTTGGGTTAGAGTGTTTAAAGTTCTGTTTGAACTTTGGATTAGCATAAGAGTTTCCATAATGTGATGTATATTTAATATCATGTGTGTGTCCAAATTTTAATTGTTTGTTCAGAGGTTTATATGTGAAAGTCATCTTAGCAACAAGTTTTGGTATATATGTCTCCTTCCCGTTGAGAGTTTCATATCCAATTCCTCTTCTCTTGTTCCCACTAACTCCATAAATCATTGAATCTATTTTGCTTCTATCTATGCTTTTAGCAAGAAAAGTTTGAAAACTAGAGTCATATTCTTCCAGAATATCTTTTGAACTTGACACAGAATCTGAACTAGAAATTTTTTGAACTTTTTGAATTTCCTCTTTAAGTTTAAAATTATTTTCTTTGAGTTCAGATTTTTCTGTTTCATGTTTCTCAAGATCAGATGCAAGACTCTTTTTGAGTTTCTTGTATTTGATTTTAAGTTGACTATAGTTTTCCATAAGTTTTGATAAACTTTCAACAAGTTCAGCTCTAGTAAATTCAGAGAATACCTCTTTTGGTTCTAACTCACAGTCTGAGTCATCTGCTGTGGTAGCCATCAGAGCTAGGTTGGCGTTCTCATCTTTAGAATCAGATTCATCTTCATAGGATTCTGAATCGTCCCAGGTGGCCATCATGCCTTTATTTCTACCAAACTTTTTCTTTGGTTTTTCTCTT